GGTTCACTAAATAGACTGTTTAGAGTACTAGATCTAGGGGTTCCTGGGTATAGAGTATATAAATAATAGGAACTTTTTGTATGTGTGTGGCAAATATTTTCTTCCACATACACAAAAAAGGTAGTGTGGGACAGTTTTTTTTAATTAGTCTCTGAAATAGCCTTGCCTTGCTATTTCATATTGTTTGACTCCTATTTCTTTCAGGAAAATCTTGTAGAAAACTACTGCTTCAAAATGAACATTATTTTTAATTTTTAAAATGGATTAATCATTTGTAGAATAGAAACATTTAGACTATTTCTTATTCTTGGGTAATGGGGAAAAAAGATCTCCAGATATTTTCCCAGTTTGGTCCTTTTGACTCAAAAGCATTTTTTAAAAAGTATATTACAAATTTGGTTTAGCTTCAATGACTAGACCACCAACTATTAAATTACAGTATTAACAAATGACAGTATCATGTGCCTAAAAAACGTCTTAAAATAGTAATGGGAAACTTCAAAGCCATATGTAATGGTATTTCTACAAGAAAGTGGTTTTAATATAGAGAAGTATATAAGATTGGCCTATAAATATTGTTCACCTATAATTTTCAACATAAATACTACTTATGAATAAAAAAATACATGATCCATATTTTAACTTAGAATAAAGTATATCTCCCTAAAGGGGATATGTTTATTGATAGAATTCATGATAACTAAGCAATATTACTTTTTCAAAGAATGTTCATTTAAAATAGCTTAGGTGCTACTAGCACTTTATTAATATATTAATCTAACTACTGCTCGATAATTTATTTGTCCATTAAGTTTTGCATTTTAGATAAGAATGATTTCTGTCATATCGATTTCTTTGGACTTAAAAATAAGTATAGAAATTATAATTTAAATCCCTTTAACATTTAATTTCATGTGTAAAGACTAAATGAATGTAAACTATTATGTTTTATCAGAAAATGAAATTTTAAAGCAAATGCAGACTTTATTTTTACATGAACCAATCCTAGTAATAAAATTATTAATATATACATAATACCCAAAATTTATTATAAATTTTAGTATTTTTTGAATACAACTTCCAGAAGAACATATAAAATGCCACATACTACTTAAAGTAATAAAATACTGTGTAGTCTGGACTATATTGGTATTATTTTTTTTACTTCCTAAAATTGTAAGTACTAGAATATATTTTAATAGTACCCCACTGACTAAAGACCATACTGGCTCATCAGTTTTAATAAGTACATATTAAGTAGTTGATTCAAATATATATTATATATCTTTTATTATCTACACTTACCTTGAATTTTTTAAAAGTATATATTTAAGTCTTAACCCCCAACATGTATTAACATTTTACCCAAAACCTGTCTTCAAATAATGCTTTGTATTCTTCTTTCTACCTTTTCCTTTTTTCTCCTCTTTAGATAAATGATGTACATTTTTTGATGACCTATAGTTAAATATTGGCTTGGTGCAAAGAACATTTAAAGAAAATGGTAGTCAAAAGTCCTGAAATAGAAGCTTTTGGAGTCTTGGTATCCTCAATTATAAAAGTAAAGGGCTGACCTAATTGGTCTCGTCGAACCCAGCCAATTCTAAAATTCTGAGCCTAAGAAATTAAAATATAAGAATAATACTGGTTTATTAAATGTTGAGTGACACATATATTTAAATAGAAAAAAAATAATATTTGAATGTACATCATTTGTACTTCTAATAAGCGAATTAACTGAAATATTCTGCTTTAGTGTTCTAACTGCTGCACTATCAGGTATTCAATAATAAGTCTATTACTAACAAGTTGGAAATTCTAATTTGTTGAAAAAAGAGAATAGTAACTAGTGCTATGTGCAATCCTTATAACTAGCCAAGGCCAACATGCAGGTCCTCTCTGAGCGCCTTCTCAGAAGAAAGCAGTCCTGGCCCCAGAAAGACACTGCTCTAGGTATGTCTGCAAGTAGGTCATGTAAATACTCCCTTTTAATTCATTGGAAGTTTTGCCTTAGTGTCCAGTTTCATAAATGTGTACTTATTGAAATAATAGGCTTCACTCATTTAAAAATTTTCTTTTAGACTAAACTTGGTGTGTAGATAACCGTTGATTACTCCTTCAACTTAAAATACAAAGTTTTTATTTAAAACTAGGAATTGGTAAATGGAAATACCACCGGCATTTTCTGTATTCTTCAAGAGGTCTTACAAAGAACATTTTTTTGGAAACCATGTTGGTTTCCAGAATTAGTTGCTTGAAAAATGTTTCTATCTGATCAAAGTAATTTTTTCTTTTATACACCCAATAATAAAGATATGTGATTAAAGGAAATCCAATCTAGTTTTGCATTATACAAGTAAACAGAAATATTCTCATCATTTTCCACCTAATTTTGCTGTTCTGTTACCACTATTTTGTTGCAGTAGTTCCATATGCATTATTGCTATTGAATACCAGTAACATTTAGTTTATTATTTTTCCATGATACACATATGTAACTTTGTGTTGAATTGACCATCACAATTACATAATAAAAAATTAAAAATAAAGCCGCTCACTTATTTGTCGCTTAATTTTCAGAAGTATAAACAAAAGAAATTGAAGTAACAAAATCTTCACCATCTCTCAGGGAATAAAAAGAGTGAAAATTATTGTAAATGTTTATAGTCATTCCTTTAGAAATATGATTTTATGTTTTAATATAATTATAAATTAAAGAATTAATTGTCAAATTATGAATAAATGTTACATTTTAGTGTTCTTTTAAGCAATTAAAATACTTCTAAAAGTAGTATTTAAAAGTATCTTAGAAACTTCTAAAGCTCTGTATTACCAATTCCATTTAGAATGTGAGTATTCTAAATGGTGTTGTGGAATAGAGGTTTATATAATAAGATCTGTGTAAAGGGCTAACTTTGGGTTAGGCTGAAAAAGTCTTGATTCAGACCTAATGTATAGGTAGTCCCCAGATTATGAGCATGATCCTAAATTTATCTTATGAAGTCAAATTTCTATATAAATCAGAACAATTAGCTATAATTCATATCTATAGATAGCCAAATATTAGTCTTAATATATGGTATATAATGTACTTCCTGTATACAAAACATTAAAGAAACACTTCCAGAGACACGTGTGTCACAGAGTAGTATCCATTTGTTAATATAAACCATTATAAGTACCTTGACTTTTTAAAATAATAGGCTTTACCACTGTTAATTCATAATTGTGGATTGTAAGTTAGATGTTCCTAACTTAGGGGCTGCCTATATAATAAAGGTACATAAATACTTTTATTGAAATATCTTTTAAAGTCTAGCATTGTACTAGGATTTTCAGGGATATGTTATAAGTAATCTGTTGAATGAATGTATATGAATGGCAGATTTAGAAAATAAATTTGAAGTGCTTGGTCTTTTAGCCATTAAGTTAAATTCTGTTAATATGAATCATTGAAATAAGATCAATGATATCTAATAGTATATATCCAAGCATTGCTCTAAGTGGAAAACATAGAAAACAAAGATAAATGCCTATCTTTTGGGTAAAGAGTGACATTTGGAGTAAATGATGCAGCATCCACACTAAGGAAGATTACATACACATTTAGAATTAGGTACCATATTTCTGTGGGGTATTGTGAGAAAAGAAATTTTTTTAAATGTGTAAAACAAACCCCTTTTTTTATGAAACAGTGATATAAAAACTGTCATATATTGATCGATAAACTTGGAAATTATTAAAGGATAATGTTCTAAACCAGTGTTTCCCAACACCGGCAGTACTGCCCACTGGTGGACTGGGGTGAAGCAATTTGGGGTGGGGCGCTGCAAAATCAGATACCTACACCTTATCCTCCACCACTTGTCTGTCAGTTTGTCATGCTGTGGTGGCTTGTGTTGCTATGATGCTGGAAGGTTGGTCACTGGTACTTCAAATGCCAGCAGGGTACCCAGAGTAAACAGGATTCAGAATACAAAGAAGAATTTGCAGAATTCTACCAATGTCTTCAGTGGGAAATTGATCAAACATGCAGTCAAGATGCAGTGATGATCATTGACAATTGGAATCCAAATGTTGGAAGCAAAGAGGAAGCAACAGTTGTTGGAAAATAAGGCTTTGATGATAGAAATGAAATTAGAGATCGCGTGATAGAATTTTGCAAGACCAACCTGTTCTTCATCATAAATACCTTTTTTTCAACATCACAAAAGGCGCAACTCTATACATAGACTTCTTCGGTTGGAATACACAAATTGACTACATCTCTGAGAAGATGATGAAAAAGCTCAATATCAGCAGCTAAAGCATGGAATAAACCATCAGTTGCTCATATAAAGCTTTAGGTTGAAGCTGAAGAAAATTAAAATAAGAGCACCTCAGACCTTGAACCTACCCCACCTGAATTTCTCAAGAGCAGATTTGACATATTGAACACTGATGACAGAAGATCTGATGAACAGTGAGTGGGATGACAAGAAGAGGCCCCAATAAAATGTTTGTTTTGTTTTTTTTAAAAGAATATCATACATGAAGAAAATAAAAGGTCATTAAAAAGACAGGAAAGAAAGAAGACCCAAGTGGATGTCAGAAATGACTCTAAAACTTGGCCTTGAACATAGAATAGCTAAAACAAATGGAAGAAATGATGAAGTCAAAGAGATGAATAGAACATATCTAAGGGCAACTCACAAAGATAAAGACAGATACTATAAGCATATCTTAACCTGAAAGAACTCCAAAAAATTCAAGCCTTTATTTTCAATATTGACCAATGTAGGAGGCATCAAGAGAAGATGGGAATAATACATAATCACTGTGCCAAAAATAACTAGACAATATTCAACCATTTTAAGAACCAAGTTCAAACTGCACGGAAAACATTTGCCTAAAACACGACTCCAGAAGTTGATGGAATACCACTTGAAATGTTTCAGTAATCAGATGAAGCACTGGAAGCACTCACTCATTTATGCTAGGAAATTTGGAAGACAGCTACTTGGTCAACTGAGTGGAAGAGATCCATATTTGTACCCATTCCAAAGAATGGTGACACAAAAGAATGCTTAAATGATAATATCACTGATGTCACATGTAAGTAAAATGTTGCTGAAGTTCAGGCCGGATTCAGAAGAGGATGTGGGCCAAGAGATATCATTACTTATGTAAGTTGGATCTTGGCTGAAAGCAGAATATACCAGAAAGATGTTTATCTGTGGTTTTGATTTTGCTAAGGCTTTTGACTGTGGGCCATAACGAACTGTAGATAGCCTAGCAAAGAATGGGAATTTCAGAACACTTAATTGTGCTCATTCCGAACCTGTACCTGGATCAAGAGGCAATTGTGTGAACAGAATAAGGCCATAGTGAATGGTTTTAAATTAGGGAAAATGTTCACTATACTTATTCTGTCTGTATGCTCAGCAAATAATCAAGAGAAATTAGATTAGATGAAGAAGAAGGTGGCTTCAGGATCAGAGGAAGGCTTATCAACAACCTGCAATAGGCAAAGTACCCAACCTTGCTTGTGAAAGTGAGGAAGGCAAGCACTTGCGGATGAAGATCAAGGATCGCGGCCTTTAGTGTGGATTACAGCTCAATGTCAAGAAAACCAAAGTCCTCACAGCTGGACCAGTAGGTAATATCATGATAAAGGGAGAAAAGATTGAAGTTATCAAAGATTTCATCTTGCTTAGATCCACAATCAATGCTCATGGAAGCAACAGTCAAAATATCAAATGATATATTGCATCAAATAAATCTGAAAAAAGCAAGGATATTACTTTGGAGACTAAGGTGAACCTAACCCGAGCCCCGGTATTGTCAAGAACTTCATATACGAGTGAAAGTTGGCCACTGAATCAGGAAGATTGAAGAAAAACTGGCGCATTTGAATTGTGGTGCTTAAAGTACCATGTACTGCCAAAAGAACAAACAGATCTGTCATGGAAGAAGTAAAGCCAGAATGCTTGTTGGAGGCAAGGATGGCAAGACTCTGACTCAGCTCCTTTGGACATGTTGTCAGGTGAGATCAGTCCCTGGGGAAGGACATGATGCTTGGTAAAGTTGAGGGGCAGCCAAAAAGAGAAAGGCCCTCAATGCAATGAATTGACACAGTGGCTACAACAATGGGCTCAAAAATAAGAACAATTGTGAGTATGGGGCGGTCCCGGCAGTGTTTTGTTCTGTTGTACCTGGTTCACTATGAATTGGAACTCAATGGTGTGTAACACCAATAATACACCTTACCTTGAATTATGGGTTATGCTACAGAGGCTTTTAATTGCCAGTAGTTAGTATACCGCCCCCAGCCCCCCTTATGAAATGGGCAATAAGCCAAATAAGTTTGGAACCTGTGTTCCAAACTATAACATTTGACAGAAGCAATAACCCCCTGCCCCCTAAAATAGACAAGCAGTCCCTGAATTATGAGCATTATCTGCCTTACATACACATACTTAGGAACCAACCAAAATTTGAGATACATGCTATATAGTTCATAGTAACAATAAACACTATGCAATATACATTATTTTTATTATGTTAAAGATGTTTTCATGTTGTTAGAAGTGTTTCTTAAATGATTTTTATGCATGAAGTACAGTCTATTAAGGCAAATATTTGATTAATATACATTAGATGCAATCTGTACCTAACTGTTCGAATTTACACATGCCAATTAGAGTTACAAGAAATTTAATAGCTAAAGGCACTTGTATTACAAGAATTGCTTGAATGTCGTTTTTAAAAGAAAAAAAGTAGCATAGAACCTAAAGGATTTTAAAAACATTTTAACTCAAGATTATGAAGTTATGTTTTGTTTTTTAACATTCCTTGGTGGTGTTATGTACATTGAAGTAGCTCCCACTAGCAAAAATTCAAATGAACCTGTTGTGTATTTAATCTCTTATATGTAACAATTAGGAAAATGTATAAGTTTTATTTTTAGATTAAGTGATAGGTTTTATAACCCACTTAGACAAATTTTACTGGTGCTCTACAAGAAGAGATGAGTAAAGTGAAAAGAGATTTTGGGCATCTGGAAGTTGTGATTTTAATACAAAGTCTATTAGTTTTGTTTAGGTCTTGAAAAATTTAGTATTAGAAGCCACCGATTTATGTGATAATGAAATTCTTTAGGAATCAATCAGTTTACCAAAGTCATCATCTATGCAAAATCACCTAGCTAGTGATACTGGTTTTGGTGTATGTATAAATACAGTTTATATATGTTGGAAACCTTCTATGTGTATGTGAATGTACATGTCCCATCAGTTTTATTCACAAACCAAGTATTTGTCATCTTGCAACTTGATGGTATATATTTAGCCACACAGTAACTGCTTATTTTATAAAAAATAAATGCTTATAATTTTTTACAAAGCTGTAAACAGTCATTTTACCTTTAATGAATTCCAGGAGGCCACATAATGAATGTATTCATGCCTTTGTGTTATAATGATCTGTTAAAGCCTCTTTAGCAACAAGATAAGGGACCTTGGTTACGTGTTGGGCTGCTAACTGCCAGGTCAACAGTTCGAAACCATCAGCCACTCCACAGGAGAAAGATGACACTTTCTACTCCTATAAAGATTTACAGTCTTGGAAACTATGACAGGAGCATTCTAATCTCTGAGTTATTATCATCTCAATGGCAGTGAGTTATTTTTGTTTGCTTGTTTTTAATTAGCAACATGACAAGATTTTTTTTTTGGTCATCACTATGCTTCTGTAAACCTTCAGGAGAACTCAGTTTAATTTCTAGTTAAAATTTAAAATATCAAAAAATGAAATTTTAGGCCTAATGAAATCACTTTCCTATAAAAAATAATCTTTATATTCTATTTTCTGTGTTCTCATGTACATATTACTACTATATAAATTAATATATGCATTCCTTTATACATGGTTATAGCATACATTACATAAATTGGATTTATGCTTCCATTTAAGCTATCATTTAGAAAACTGAATTTATCAGACTGAAATAGAAACTTTTCATTTAAATGGATTTTATATTTATATTCACTTTTATTAAGTATTCTACACATTTAGACCTCAAATTTATTGCCATTGAGTTGATTCCAACTTATATTAACCATATAGGATAGGGTAGAACTGCCTCCTGTGGGTTTCTGAGACTGTAACTTTTTACAAGAGTAAAAGCCTCATCTTTCCTCCCCAGAGCCATTGGTAATTTTGAACTGCTTACTTTGTGGTTAGCAGCCCAGTGCATATCCCACTGTGTCACCAGGGCTGTTTTAATATAATTCAGTTATAAATAATAAAGTTACTTAAACTTTTACGTAATAGCTTTTACAAAAAGTAAGCTAGGCGTACTGTAATACAAAATAGTAAGCTTTTACTGGAAATGGTAAAATTTGAAATACAGTTAAAATTATGTTTTTTCTTGTCCGTGGTGCATTTGTGCAAGTTGCCACTTAGGCTTATAATCAGTATTTCTATGGCATTGTTACCTACTTGGAAGAATCTGTTAATAACCATGACAGAATTTAATACCTATTTATCATACTATCTACATAGTTAAGGTACTTATGAAAATATCTTGTGTTGAAATTTGATTCAATGAATGTATTTTTCAACCTTCTGGGTTTTTAAAGGGAATTTAATTCAATTACATAATTTCTAACGGTTTTTGTATCTACTATTGAAAATTTAATTTCCTCTAATTACTCTTTACGCCTTTCAGAGGAAATGGATGTAGAAGCTCGCCTTACTGAACTATGTGAAGAAGTGAAGGTATTTGAATTTTTTAAAATTCACATTATCAAGTTACTTGACTAGTTTCTGTTTATTATTCTAAATGTTTTATCTTTTATTTATTTCTAATTTTTACTTTAATTATCATTCCTAAACTACATAGATAAAAAAAAAAAGGTTAATCATGGCAGATTCACAACTTAAGGAATCAAAACACATTTAACTTTGACATGAAATAAGGAAAAGTAATTATCTTAATCAAAATATATATTTTCTATTTGTTAAATAGCAGGGTTTCTGGGCAAATTTTAAAACATCGTTTAAATTTACATACTTTTATAAAACAATGTTACATAGAAATGAAAAAGTTGTCTTATTTAACCATTTATATCTCACATTTTTCCAGTTCATTATTGGGATTAAAATGAGACTTTCTTATGTTTGTGTTTTCTGCCAAGGAACTAAATATTCTATATAGTTAAAATTTCTATTTCCTTCTCTACCAACCATATTAACCAGATAAAGTAGTATCATCAGTCATCTAAATATATATATTTGAAGTTGGGATATATATTCTGTTGAGAATGAAAAGTTATTTACCTTTCTCTTGGAAAATGACATAAATATATGTAAATAAATTTTCTATATAATGCTAGAGCAGGTGGTTCTCAACCTTCCTAATGCTGCGACCCTTTAATACAGTTCCTCATGTTGTGGTGACCCCTAACCATAAAATTATTTTCATTTCTACTTCATAACTGTAATTTTGCTACAGTTATGAATCTGGTGACCCCTGTGAAAGAGTTGTTAGACTTCCAAAGGGGTCCCAACCCACAGGTTGAGAGCCGCTGCCCTGGAGACTTCCTCTAATGTTAAATAAGGATTTATTAAATATTTCCCTAATGTTTTATGATAGTTATCAAAAAAGAATGTTGAATTCTTAGAAATATCATAATAACATGTGTAATTAATATTTGTAAACTCTACAATGTTTTTCTAAGTAATTCAAAGAAAATTTAAATAAGTGACATGTTCTTGGATCAAAGATAATTAATCTCTAAATTAATCCCTAGTTATCTCAATAATATTTGTAATTTCAAATAAAAATCCAAGTGGATTTTTTTTTTCTTTTTAATCGTTTTATTAGGGGCTCATACAACTCTTATCACAATCTATACAGACATCAATTGTGTAAAGCTCATTTGTACATTCATTGCCCTCATCATTCTCAAAACATTTGCTCTCCACTTAAGCCCCTAGCATTAGATCCTTATTTTTCCCCTCCCTCCCCGCTCCCCCCTCCCTCATGAGCCATTGATAATTTATAAATTGGTATTTTGTCATATCTTGCCCTGTCCGACGTCTCCTTTTACCCACTTTTCGGTTGTCCGTCCCCCAGGGAGGAGGTCACATATAGTTCCTTGTAATCGGTCCCCTCTTTCCTACCCACTCTCCCTCTACCCTCCCAGTATCACCACTCATACCCCTGGTCCTGTAGGGCTCATCTGCCTTGGATTCCCTGTGTTTCCAGTTCCTATCTCTACCAGTGGCCATCCTCTGGTCTAGCCAGACTTGCAAGGTCGAATTTGGATCATGATAGTGAGGGCAGGGAGGAAGCATTTAGGAACCAGAGGAAAGTTAAGGACAAAGATTTTTATGGAAAATAACTCTGGTAATGAATTTTGTATTGAAGCTACTTCTAAAACATTTTTGGTTTTTGGCTGACAGCTACAGGAATGTGAGGATAGCAATATTTTTTTAGCTAACAGTTGTATACAAGGAAGTGTCAAAAAATTTATAGACAAGTTAAAGTAAAAAGATGAAATTTTCCCCACAAACTTTGAAAGCCCTAATCAAATGTTCCAAATTACATGGTAAGTATGAGGATGCTTCAGGAAGTTCATGGAAATATTGAATTATCTTTTTATTCATGAACTTTTTGAAGCCTTTTCGGACAAATGAACTGAAAACTCCACCAGAATAAAGTTATCAAAAACATTGTTAGAAATAAATGTGAACATTACTACTAGTCTTCAAAGTAATTCTGCCATTGAATTTTTATACATATTAACCACTAGAGCTTTTCTTGTAATAGTTCACTTTTTATAAAACTATTTGTTAAATTTCTCTCTCTTAGAAATTGCCGCTAGATTTGCAGGTCCACCCCAGACTGCTTCTAAAAGATCTCTCTCTTTCTCTAATGCCTCCTCTAAGCATAAGTCTTTGACTGAGGAAACAGACAATTTCAATGTTCTAATGACTTCTGGTGGCCCTCTTATAAACTGCTGTAGCCATGCTTGTGCCTCTTCTAGAGACTGAGTTGCATCCTTAGACTGTAAGATCTCTTCAACCATTTCTATAGTTAAAGCTTTTTGGGGATCCAGTTTGAGGGCCCCAGTTAACACCTTGAGAGCTTATCTACTGCCGATTATTTCAACCAGCCGGGTTGTGCCACCCCAACTTGGTATTATACCCATCTCCTTATGGACAAATCTGATCTCACTTTCTGGAGTCATTAACCTGAAA